ATTCAAGGCCAGCCTGGTCTACAGTACAAGTTCCAGGACAGTCAGGGCTATAGAGATAAACTCCGGTGGTAGGGGGAACAGGATAGTATGTGTAGTGGGGCACAGGCTGCAATCACTCTAGATGCAGAGAGACTAGCAAATTCCAGATCAATATGGTCTACACAATGAGATATTGTTTCAAAAAAAAAAACCCAAAAACAAACAACAACAACTATATTATTATTCATATCCATGGCCATAAGCAACGCCTCACACCGAGCTTTTGAAACATGGTTACTGTGACTCATTTTAGATTATTCCACATCAAATAACTAATAGTTGGTAATTAAGTCAACTATTAGAAAACTCGACTGGGTAAGGTGGTGCACACCTTTGATCCCAATACAAGGGAAGCAGAGACAGGTGGACCTTTTTGAGTTTGAGGCCAGCCTGGTCTACATGAATTCCAGGCCATAGGGCTACATAGTCAAGACCTTGTCTCAAAAAATGAAAACTAACCAAGATAAAAAAAAAAAAAAAACAGGAAAACTTAAGTAAATAATCCAGCCATGCAAATTTGGTTTTCTTACAATAAAGTATATGATCTCTAAATACATACCAAGTACTTCCAGTGAAGAAAAGGTCTAGATCAAGATGTCTGAATACAAAATGCCCATTTTGAATAAAATTTCAACTAGCTAATTTTATGCTGATTACATCTAAAATAGTATTTTGGGTATAACGTATTAAATAAAACATGAACTGCACCTATATTTTTCCTTGTAATTATGGCCGTCACTTGTCTCTGTTAGTCAGCACTAGACTCACCGAGCCCCAAGACCTCCTTTGTTCACTGTGTCACATCACTAGTCATGCTTTAAACAAGAGGAAAACCTGTTCCCTAGGCCAAAGTCCAACAAGGAAACAAAATAGAAGAAAATCTGTGTAGTTTCTTGCTTTTTTTTTTTTAAACGTTAATTTATGTCTATGAGTACACTGTCTTCAAACACACCAGAAAAGAGCATTGGATTCCATTACAGATGGTTGTGAGCCACCATGTGGTTGCTGGGAATTGAACTCAGGATCTCTGGAAGAACAGTCAGTGCTCTTAACCACTGACCCATCTCCCCAACCCTCTTACTCTCATTTTTAAAAATCAGGTTTATTTAATTTACCTACATAAGCATTTTGCCTTCATATACCTATGTGTGCCACATGTGTGCCTGGTATCCTTGGAGGTCTGAAGGCCCCCAGAACTGGAGTTATAGGAGATTATGAATTGTTTTGTATGTGCTGGGAACAAAACTCAGGTGCTCTGCAAGAGTAACAGTCACTCTTAAGCACAGAGGCACTTCTCTGGTACCTTGTAGCATCTCTTAAAACGCAATTATGGCAGCAGGGCATGATGATGGCAGGCCTAGAATCCCAGCACTGAGGAGGCTGAGAAGCAAGAGGGTTTTGAATCTGAATCCACTCTGGGCAACATTAGCAAGATACTGTTTTAAAAATAAGATTTATGATCATGTGTAGTGGAATATGTGATAATTCCAGCACTTCTGGAGCCAGAGGCAAGCAGACCTCAGTTCAAAGCCAGTCTGGTATACATAGTGAGTTTCAGACCAGACAGGACTACACAGTTAAGACCTGTCTCAAAAACAGAAGAGAGGAACTCCTAGATCCACACCCCATTCTGACTATGGCCTCTGAGTACTGCCTGGAGCCTCACTGTATTCTACTGTTAATGTGAGACAGACCAAGGACTGAGTGAGGACACAGCACACACAGACGTTGGTCTGCTCTGCTGCTCACTCTCTAGGCCTCACTTACCATCACTGTTGCTAAGACAGAAGTCTCAGCTACGATCAGAAACAACTGTTCCAACAGCACACTACCTGAGTTCCCAAGACTTTACATTTCACTGCACATTAAAATGAAAACTACAGCTTTACATACCTTAAAGTACTCCCTAATCAGGGCACATTCCTCATATTCCTCATATTCATTAAAACTGGCCAAACTCCTTAAAGCTGAGTAAAGTAGCCTTTAAGAAAATTCTGAAAAAAATCTGTCTTCAGTTAAGAGACTATGTCCATGGTAGATTAGAGTCTACTTCCAGGTGGTATGCTCTTCTAGTCTACCTAAGCACCTATTACATCCCAGGAAAACACTGCTTTCTCTTTGAAAACCGAAACCCTTGTAAGAATCCTACTATTCAATTCAGCAACTCACTGCATGCCTTCACTTATGGATCAAGGAGAGATTTGTAAATGAAAATTAAAAGTATCCAAGTGCTCAACAAAATGTGCCAATAGCAAAATGCTTAATATGCCAGGAATTGAAAATTGAGGCAGTGGAGTGTTGTCGTTTTGTCCTTTGAGACAGGGTTTTGCTGGCTGGCACTGAACTTACTGAGTTCTGCAACCTAGAATTTGTTCAGAATCTGCAACTCAACAAAAATTCCTTCATCACATAAAATATTAAAATTATGGGATGTAGTACCAAGCCTTGATGACAGAGCTTCATCTTAATAAACGCACAAAGGGATAGGAAAATAAATAGCAAATTTTTATTTGAAATATTCTCATAAGAAGTTTAAAATAAATTATTTTAGAGTTTGCTGTTAACTTTCACAAGTGAACTCTACACTCTCTAGTTCCTCATTTTTCAGTTCTTCTCCTATGTGTTTTACAAAGTTGTTTTCTAAGCAGAATGGAATGGCTTGGAATCAAAGACTTAACATGACAACTGAAATAATTCTTACACTGATGTGCTAAAAGAGAGGGGATAAAAGTCTGAGATCAAGCGATACACTACCTTGGAAAGGATTGGTGATCCAGCCTTCTGGCACAACTGATCACTATCTACTTGAGTGGAATCCTACCAGCCAAACTTCAAGTGTGACACGGTCCTCCAGAAAATAAACGTCAGAGATCTTCAGGAATACTTGTAAAGCTATTTTATAACTATTCAAAATCTTCAAATTTAGGAAAACAGCTTCAAGTATTTACAGAAATTGCTACTAACATGCCACACCTGCATTAAATCTGTTCTTAATTAGTGACAAGTTTGGATTCCAGTCTGTAAGACCAGTCAACAATATTGGTCTTGTGTTTAATAGAAATGAAAAACTATTACTCAAATCACCAACAATGATCATGTGATGAGCTGCGTCTTTGCTTCTCTTGTGTATGGTTTATATACATACCCGCAGAAAGCTATTTCTGGTGAATTTCAGTGTGGACAAGTGTTAATCCCAAAGATGGAAGAAAAACTAGCAACCCAAATCTTGGTCAAATTAATTAAAGCAAGCAATTAACTAAAGCTAGACTTTTTTTTTATTGGTGTACACAGGCTGCCTCCCTCTTAGCTCAGCCTGAAGAACCCATTGTCCACTAGCATCCAGAATAGTGCCTTCTTAACTCTTTATATTCTTAACAGAAGAAACTCAAACAAGCTTGAACTGAGGACAAAAATAACTTCTCTGTCAGCATTGTCACTTGACATTTTCAGACCTTTACAAAACAGAGATCTAATTGCCAAAATCAGATGAATTATTTGAAAACTAGTAATGACTGAAGGAAAAGTATTCAACTCATTTTATGGGCAAAGATCTATTATTATTTACATTTAAAGTCCTAAAGTAAAATAATTTGTTAATGTAAGCAACACGGTAAAGTCTATAAGGAAAGAGTTTTTAACTTGTAGCTAAATTTTAGTTAACCCTCTTTATTATCAAACATTCTTTATGTATATCAATGGAGAAAAGCAAATCAGATTGCCTTCAATAATAATGCACTCAGTTTAAGTTCCAATATTTGATCTGGCTCATTGCACCTTCCCTCATGAAATTAGCCCTTCTGAAGACGGAGCTCAAAGCAGATTTCTTTATAGAGATACTTGGAGGAAAGTAAATTAATATGAATAAATTATGATATTAAAGAGTCAGGACAAGTGAACCAGGAAAATCAGCAGTTCAGAAGAAGCTTAATTCATCGAAGCCCTCCAATGGTCACCTGCCTAGGCAAACTATGGGCAGGTTGTCAGGTTAGACAATGGTGTATTGACTCCAGGATAAGGTGCAGTGGGGGGTGGGGGGGTGCCCCAGCCTATTAAAAAGAAGCCAGTTATAGATCAACTTGTCAGGTACTGACTCAGAGCAGGTATGCACTTACAACCAGGCTCTGCTCAATTCCACGCAGTCCTGTGAGACATATTCTTGCCTTAATCCCACAACTACCTGCTAGATTCCAAAAGGCCATAAATAACCTCTAAATAACTCTCCCTACCTGCAAGAATCAAAGTGAGCCTTAGAGCAGCTACACTAACCCTCGAAGAAACCATGAAAGGAAAAAATATGCGCGTTCCCCTTGGGACCTTGACCCCAGGCACCCTGAGAATGACACCGCCCCTAGCCGCCCCTCTATCTTCTTTCTGTTCCTTCAGTGAGTGTGACCTTCGGATCCTTACAGATTCAGGGAAGGCAAGACGCAAGCCACTGTTACCCTAACCCCAAGGTGCCTTTCTCAGTTGTGAGCGGCAGGGAGGATGCAGCTCCTCCCCAACCCACCAGCCACACAATTCCTGGGCAGGCTCGATGTGAAAATGGGAATAGAGCAAGGGAAGGTGACAGCCCTGCATCGCCTGGGGTTAACGAGAAATCTTGCTCACGGAGAAACGCGCGACTGGCTCCCCCACCTAGCCCCTACCCAAATGAATGAACTGAGTAAAATGGGAAAGGGGGGGGGGTCTGGTATGCGCAATTCTTGCAATCCAGGAAGCAGAATAAGAGGCCGTCAGACGTAAGGCCTGGTCTCGCTGCCCTCTGCACTCCGATTCGTCATTTCCATCCTAGACTCATATCATTTAACCCTTTAAGCTTTTAAGACAGTGTCCTTCCTCCACCTATGCCAAATACCGACACCCCCCACTCCCCTTCTGTCGATCCCCTTCGGGCCGGGCCGCTAGCTTCTTCCTTCCCACTACCCTCGAAAAGTCCCTCAGCAGCCCTGACTCACACGCACCTGGAGATGCTCCTGAAAGCGAATTGGCAGAATCTGGGCCATGGCGCTGTCGGGGAGTATGGTCTCCTCCTGTCACTGGGGCTGCAGGGCAGTGCCTGCCCGGGCTCTCCAAGGGAGAGGAGGAGAAGGGGAAGGGGGGGGGAGGCTGAGCTCAGAGGGATACTCTCCGGGGACGCAGGGAACTGGCAGGCAGACGAGAGAGCTTGGGTCGGGGGCGGAGGCTCCAGGGGCCGGGAGAGCCGCAATGGCGGAACCGGGAGCAGCGCAGACTCCGGAAACGGCTGAGCCCTGCGGAAGGATCCCGGGGCAGAACTCCGCCCAGTCTCCTCACCCCGTCCGCCTTATGTAGCCTTCCACGAACGCCGCGCCGCGCCGCGGTCAGGCGTAGGAATTCAGGGACGCAGTGCGCGGAGCGCTCTTCGCTGATGCGGCAGCGGAGAAACAGAGGAACCGAGGGACTACTTTTTCTAGACTCATCACTTTCCCTAGGCTCCGGTTTCTCCCTCCTCCCCTCCCCCCAACCTTTTTTTTTTTTTAAACATTTTGCCACATCATGCGACTCGGGGAGAACTACGTCATTTCCGCAGGCGCTGTAGAACCCACCCACGCACTTCCAGGTGCACGTGATGCGGGTAGGGAAGGGTCGGTTGACGGCTGCCAGAGTGGAGGGCGAGAGTCAGGGACTGGCCGCTGCTTCTGGGGAGGAGGTGGCGGTTGAGCCCCCTGCCGGCGTGGCGGCCGGGGCGTGAGGACACCGAGTGCCTGAGGAGAAGGCCGCGGCGTGGGCGCCGCAGTGACTAAGGGAAACTGCCCCGCCGCAGCGCTCTTCGGGCGGCTGGCTGCGGCGCGCCTCCCCCGCCCGGTTTCACGCAGTGGGTGGTTGCTGACACCTCAGGGAGGGGGATCGTGCTGAGCTGCAGCCTCCCTGCCCTGACGCACGCCCTTCTGACGCCAGGAGAGCCGGATGGCTCAAGTTCCTCAGATAAACCATCTCAAAGGACAGTGAAGGCCATGTGAGAAGTGTCTCATGCTGGCCCTGGAGAGCGCTTCTGCGGACATTTTGGTGGACTTAGACCAGCCTAGTATAGAGATGAGTTTGACCCTCGAGAATTGGAATGTTCGGCAACATGAAAATCTTAAAAGAGACCAAAGGATGGCTGGTGAAAGAAACCTCAAGGGCTTTCTTGGAGCGGAGGGATTGACTGTTAGTCATACATGTTAGTAGGACCATTGCCTGTAGTAGTAGAGTGAGCAGTGTAAGCCCTTCAAAACCAGAGCACCTTGCCTTCCTACAGCAGTAAGGTATATCCAGCATTCATAAGTGATTAATAGCCGCCACCCCAGAGCTCTTGCTAAAGTGTAAGATCTAATGTCTCACTATTGTGAGACACCAATATAAGGAAGGTTTAGAGAATTCAGTTCCACATAGTTCATCTTAATCCCCCTGAAAGTTCTTGAGAAAATTACTTTCAATGGTCCTTTCACCTAAAGAACATAAGACACCACTGGGTATACAATAATTTTACGTAAGCGGTTTTACTTAGAGAAATCTGCTTAGTCATTTCAGTTTTTAGTGTTTCCCTCAAATACTGCCTTTCATACCTGGGCCGAGAGAAGAACCAGACAAGCGAGAAGGCAGTCAGACCCTGCTGTGAAGAAGAGCCTTGCCACCATATTTAGGATGCTTTGTGTTTGCATAATTTCACTTAAGCACTTGAATGTGCTCCCTCCTGCAACGTTTGAAATGATTGTTTTAATATGAGTCTAAAGGCTTTACGTCCTTTTTTAGAAGTGGACAAATTCTAAATTAAAATTCTAAGGGAGTTACTGTTTTATTACAGAAATGTCAGTAGCTTAATCGACTTGCATTTTCAATCTCAGAATTTGGGATGTAAGAGCTACATCATGAACAAATCACTACAGTTTACTGACAAATGCTTTGTATTTTTATACAGACCCTGCAGTTGTAAGGACATTTCAAATCCCCAGAGCAGCTGATTTCACCTCCTTGGTGTGGAATACCTAACCAAAAAAGTGCACTGTGACTGCTTTGTCATCACACATAGAAATTTCAAGAATTGAGTTGTTTTTAGAAATCATTGAGAAAGAAAAAAAGTAGATGGTGATATCCCAAATCATTCTGCTTATTAATAGGACTGCTGTCTTGCCTGCCAAATTCTTCTCTCAGCCTAAGTATGAAAGACAGTGTTGGAGAAAAACACTAAAAGCAACTAAAATGACTAAGCAGATTTCACTCAGTGAAGGCACGTTAAACAGTTAATGCACTTTTTTTCCCAAGAGAAAAATGGTCTAAATGATAATGCTACCCAGTGCTGGGGGCATTCTGGTGCTCACCTGTAATCCTCACACTGGAGGATTCTGAGGCAGGAAGACCTAGAGTTCAAGACAGTCCCACCACATAGCAGGACCTTGTTCCCCCAAAACTAAAACAGCCTCCAAACTGGCATGCCTCTTTAAAGATCAGTATTTGTTGTAATAAGGGATGTTTATTATGAGATCATGCTATCCAGATTTGCAACAGCACAGAGATGGGAAAGGACAGTTCCCTGGCTTAGAAACCCCAAAGGCAGAGGCACTAAATTTTCTAGCTATACCTGAAAGGCATGGTTTTAGGCCCTACCTTAAAATAGATAACCTGATAAGCCCTAAAACAAATCCTGCTATCCAGAGTAAGTAACTCTTTTACCCGGAACAGACTGCTGCAACTGATGAGTCATCACCTTGGCTTTTAGTCTGCCATACTTTAGTAAAGAGGCCATGTTACTAAATGGTCAGGGTCTGAACTTGAAGCTGTTTTCACAGTTATAAACAGCAGGCCCTTATATAGGAAGTGCCTTAACACAAACATTCCTTTGTATGTTATTTTGAGGAATTTTAGTTTCTCAAAAACCTACACAAGAAAACTGTATTCTTCATCAGTTATTTAATGACAGGAACTCTGAAGTCTAAATATGTGTAACCATCCTGGAACACAAAGCAAAACCCACCACCTTGGGGCTGGGCATGCTAGTACCTGCCTGTAATCCTAGCACTTGGCACTTGAGAGGCTAGTGTAGAGAGGAGAGTCAGGAATTCAGGGCTGTTTTCCTATATTGACCAGACTGAGCTACATGAGACCCTGCCTCAAAAGAAAAACCTTGATAGCCAAGCATGATGGCTCACACCTGTAGTAGGGGAGGTTGATGGAAATTCAAGGGGAGCCTAAACTACTGAGAAACTGTCTTCCCTCACACACACTCCACCCCAAAGCCAACCCTTTTTGTAGGATTCCTCCATAGTTGTTCATTTTGAGGCAATCTCAAAGTCTTTTAAAAACAGCTTGAGCTAACTGCAATGTAAAAGTCAGAGTAAAGACACTCATCAGATAGTCAAAGATTAGAAAGCAGACAGAACTCTAATGCTTCATACCAAATATAGTTCAGATTTTAGAAACCATTAGAGCCGGGCAGTGGTGGCACATGCCTTTAATCCCAGCACTTGCGAGGCAGAGAGGCAGGCAGATTTCTGAGTTCGAGGCCAGCCTGGTCTACAGAATGAGATCCAGGACAGCCCAGGCTACACAGAGAAACCCTGTCTCGAAAAAAACACACAAAAAAAAGAAAAGAAAAAAAGAAACCATTAGTGACACTTTGGAATTACACAGGTAAGAGAACTGGTTTTGCCATTTAAACAGCACCTTTGAAATACCTCGGCCCCTTAGAGCTACTGATAAGAACTGCATCATGAGTAGACTGGAGTCTTTATCTTTTCATGCAAGTTTAAAGAGAACCATAGCACTTGCCACAAAGAAAGTGAATATTTCTTGGGTCTCAAGGATTGGTCAACGTAGTACCCACTGTGTTTCAGTTCAGTGTGAGCAGACTGTAGGCAAAGTATCTCAACAGGGATAAAGAGTGGACAGAAAACATTTGCAAAGCAATATGGACTTTCTATTTTAGTATGAAATGTACCTGAGTTTATATATTTCACAGTCAAGCTTTTCTTGAACACCCTATAGACAAGTTTTATAAGTTGTATCAGGGATGGCAATAAGATCTATGGTGAGTATTCCCCTTAATAGCACCAAGTATATTCTAAATGAAAGGCTAAGACTAATCTTGTAGGAACCAACCTTGACTCTGGTCACATAAACAGGTCCCTCCCGTTTCTAACAGATTCTGGCAGGGGAAGGGAGAAGCTTGAAACATCATTCTCTTGGGAGGTCATTTCAGGCAGTGTGGTGGGTCATACCTTTAATCCCAGCACTTGGAAGGCTAAGACAAGAGGAAGATCAGCCTTGAGTTTGAAGCCAACCTAAACTACACAGTAGGTTCCAGATCAGCCTGGATTACAGAATAAGACCCCTGTTCTTAAAACAGCTTAGCCCAAAAAGTCATCTTAGAACATTGGTTTAATATAGTAGATTCACCATGGAATCTGATGATCAATAAATGTCAATCATATCCTTTTCCCACCCAGTAACAGGTCACAGAAGCTTGAGAGGTTCTGTTGAATGAAAAGGCAATGAAAGTAAGTTGTGGAAGTGATGTGTTACATGGCTTTCCCGCCCAAATTTCTTAAAATATGTGTGCGCACACACATGTACATGGAGGCCAGAAGGCCACCTCAGATGTTCCCTAGGAACCATCCACCTCATTTGGTCTCTCCTGCCTCCAAGCACAGGATTATAAGTACATACCACCATGTGCAGATTTAAAAAAAAAATTTTTTTTTAAACTAATGAGGATCAAGCTCAGTCTCCATGCTTACATACCAAGCAGTTTATCTACTAAGAAATCTCTGGAGCTCCTTCATCCAGTTCTAAATATGTAGAACTGTCTTTTTCTTGTCCTAGAGTTATTACTGTCTCCAGGTCAAATCAAAGTATGACCCACAAACATGTTCCCTCAACAATCAGTTTTGTCACACTCAAATAGTTCTCATTACAAGTGTATATGCCTTGTAAACTTTCGCTACCTCAGGGCAGACTAGTTATGGACAGAAACTTAGTAAAGGTTTAGTTAAATCAGTAGTAAAGTTTTAAGGAATTATAATCTACTTTATGCCTTTAAATATTTTTTAGCATCTGTAAAGCCAAATACAGAGATGTTAAAATTCTTTTTTTCAAGGCTTTTTAAAAAACTGATATGGTGGGGGCTGTCAGTTAAGAATCCTCTCAGAGGATCAGAGTTCAGTTCCCAACACCCACATTATGCAGCTCACAATCACCTGGAACTCTAGCTTCGGTGATCCAGCATCCTCTCTGCGTACACACAGAGAGATATTCAGAAAATTGGTAGAGGAAAGCAGTTCTG